TATCCTCATGGTTGGACTTCTCAACTCTGCGCTCCATGCAGACGAGGGCTTCTTCATCCGAGCTTGAGCTGGATGACTCGTCACTTTCAGCAGCAACCATTGCTTTCTTTTTCTTCTCGATCCTTTCTCTTTCTCCGTACTTCTCCACTTTTGGGTACGGGCATGCTGACTTCCAGTGGCCAGGCTTCCTGCAGTTATAACATAAATAAGATTCAGGAGGGGAGTCACTTACCTGTGGCTTTCCCTTGGATGGCCTTCTGACTGAATCAGCCTTCTTGAAGAACTTCTTGAACTTCCGGAATTGTTTGACCATCATGGCAAAATCCTCTTCGTAGTTCTCCATTTTTGAGCTTGACGGCTGGCTAGAGGAAGGTGTGTCACAGTTTCTTGTGCATGTCCCTTCACTTGATGGAATTCTTGAAGTTGTCATCAATTCCGTGGGGAAGGGAGTAACTTGTTCTTCCTTCTTCTTTTTCAGCTCGTGCTCATAGGTTCTGAGTTCATCAAGGAGACCTTGAACAGTGTAGTTTTCCAGGTTTCTTCCTTCTTCCATGGCTGTGGCTTTGGTGTACCACTCAGTTGGGAGTGATCTCAGCAACCTTACATTCTTTTCTTTGGGAGAAAGAATGTGGTTAAGTGAGGCAAGATGATTCAAGATTTTGTGGAACCTTTCATCCAACATATCAAATGATTCTCCGGGAAGCATTTTGAAGCCTTTGAACTTCTCAAGTAGGACTTCTATCTTCTGCTTTCTCAAGTCCTCTGATCCCTCACATAGCTTCCCAAGACCTTGCCATATTTCCATGGCAGTCTTGAGATGCTTGATTTTGGAGAAGGTGATGGGATCAAGTATCTTGAAGATGGCTGCTTTGGCGACGTTGTCCAGATTGTGCTTTTTACAATCTCTATCATCCCATTTTTCCTTGGGCTTTGGAATGTACTAGATTACATCAGGAGTTGCTGGATTCCTCTCAGGATTCTCCATTTGGATTTTCAAGGGTCCATCCTCAAGCACCATCCACATGCAGTCATGTAGAGCGTAGAGATGTGCTTCCATCATGATCTTCCAATCATCATAACCTAAGAGAGAAAACTTGGGCAAACCGTGATCCATATTGTTCACCATTATGATCGCTTCTCGT